AAAGGAACATAGCGAAAACGATGTTGTTTTATTAACTGCGAATGAAAAAAAAAGTCTTAATTGCAAAAAAATCATTACATTTTCGTAATTTGCAATTTTATACACCATCTTTAAAATTGGCAAATTAATACATCACTTTAACAATTTTTTGCAATCGTATCTATACGGGCTAAAAATCGGGCTTTTCCTTGTTGAAGTGATGTATTAATTTACACGATTTTTGGCCCATATGGATACAATTGCAAATTTTTTTAAGTGATGTATTAAATTACCAATTTAAAAGGTGGTGTATAAAATTGCAAATTACGAAAAGGTCGTGATTTTTTTTGCAATTAAGCAAAGAAAAAGTCATTTGCAAAAACCAAACATGAATTAAGGGACACTTGTCATGTTTTTAGCAGCCCTTTTAAGGACACCCTTCTCTTTAGCTAGTTGTCAAAGCCCGACTACATCAACGACTACATCAACGACGGGTGAAAATTGAGGTCGACCGAAGGAGTTCATGAGGTTTTTTCAGAGAGAAATCCTATAATCGTCAGTAGCCCGATTCTCTTCAACAGAATCTTAAATCTCTTTACCATTTTTTTTACAGCGTTGTGCACGACTAGGCTTCAGGGAAAGGGAGGCCGCGATGCAGGAGGATTGAACGACGGAGTCAGCAGAGAAGGTTGCTCCCCTGTCTCTCGAAAAACACCTTGTGAACCTGAAGAACTTCAAGAATATGATATGGAAGAACACGATAACGGCGACTCTTTTTCAGAAATGTTGTTTGATGGTGACGATCCTTTTGCCCATGAAATACTCCTCGGAAGTAAGGATGAAGATGATAAAGGTACTTCTTTTTCCTTTTCCAGTGCTTTTTATAATGTTAATTAGCTTATGAGGATCATTCTCTGCACATGTTCCAAATCCTCGATAGTCAAACACTGATTTAGCCATGTTAAATTATCAAATCCTATCTTATTTATCTTATTGAATCTCTAGTGATTATAAGACTGTGAGTGTCCTAGGGTTCTTTGTGTGTGAGCCGCGTCAGGTTGTGAGGGGATTTTAGGGGGTTTCAGGTACGAACTAAATTAGGGCCGAGAGTTGTGCACCGAGAGGTGGTGTTATCCTGGGTTTACAGTGCCGGAGTCATTGAGGTTGAGGGTCCAATTGATCGGTTCATTTGTCGGCTCTTCTGTGACTCATTTTGAGGGTTTGACATAAAGGGGACTGAGCCTGCACCATTTCAACCCATCACCACGGCAACTTCGTACCATTTGGGCTCTTCGTTCGAGAAACATAAAGGGTGTATTCGTTCCTCTTTTATGTGTTATTCATTTTTAGCCTTTTCTATTCAATTATATTGTTTGGTTATGGAAATTAGTATATTTATTGGTAATATTTGTTTTTCTCTTGAAGCGAACGAATCGGGACGAGTTCAGACTCAAAATGGTGTTGTTCGGAAAGGAAAAGTTGTTGTCTGGTGCCTAACAGGAGCTGTCGGGACCTACTTGAAGCTGCCGGACCTGTTGGGTGCTGCTGGGACGAACCAACGACTATTCGGGATGTACCAGCTGTTATTCGGGACTATTCAGAGCCAGCCCCGGCCCGGTGAGTCGAGCCAGACGACCACTCAACAAGTCAGACGTGAATTGAAACCTCTGAGAAAGTGAGACTTGGTTTGGAGGCATGAAACTCAGAATCTTGATTAATTTGGGAGCTGTTCAGGTCCTCCAGAAGAGGAATTGAAATTGCTGAAGCAATGAAAACAGGTCAACAAGTTCACAATCCTCCCTTTCTTATTTATTTGATTGGAGCTCAAATGCACTTCCAACATAAAGAAAACAATTATATCATCATAAATATCTACATATGAACAAAGGAAAAAGAAAAACAAACTGTTGTTATATACCTGAATCACTAAATTTAATGTCTTAAACCACAAAGATGTTATAAACAAAATCTACTCTCTCTCTCTCTCTAATATTTCTTCATCAAATTTTTGTTTGATCTGTTGCGTTTTAGTCGCATCCATTAGATGTTGTTTTAGTTTGATCCTCCTTTGTGTGAAGGCGCTAAGAAGTCGTCCCGAGCACTGGCGGGATCAAGAAGCCCCGTCGTCGTCTCCCTGGAACCATCGGTCTTCGGTAAACCTTAATACCCAAATTTCGCTCTGTATTCACTTTCTTTCCTCTTCAATTTCCAATGTACAGGTTTTTTGATTATTTTTTTTCTATCTGTTTTTTTTTTTCTCTCAAATACTAAGAGTGATATGGGTTTTGTTGGAGTTGTGAGTATTTTGGACGTGGAACTTTTGGTATTTGGTGAAATTTAGTTTTATACTTTTGTTCTCGAGCTAAAAATAGTTGAACTATAACCTCACAGGTGCTTTGCTTTTGGCCAATTTTGTCGAGCCTCGTGAGCAATCTCCTCATCCCAACACCCCATTAAGCTCACATGCGCGAATGGCTAATTCTCCAATAACGAAATCAGTGCCGACTGATATCAATACAAAATCGGACGAGTGCAATAATGTGAACCAAGGCAATGGAAAAGTGAGTCATTCGTCACCACAAAGAGTACGGACATTGCAGAAGCTACTGGTAATGAAATTGGGAGCAAGGTTAAATCTAGCAAGAGATGCTTTTATTATTCTTCGCGTTTCAAAGTCGATGCTCGAAACCCTCTCCGTGTTGGCCTGACCCTTTCCCTTCCCAATGGTATCTCTATTTATTCGTTCGATTTTGTTTTGTTGTGTTTATGATAACATTTGTTTTTTAAGCTTGTTCAGTTAGAGTTGAAGTTTGACAGTCAATGATGTCTTTATACTTGCTATCAGGTTGAAAATTTTTCCCTAAAATGGAAACTCATGATGTAAAACATCTGCAGTGCAAGTTGAAGGATATTTACTTCCTTATATCCAGGTTAACTGCACAGAGCTCTTATTGTTTTATTTGTTTTATGCTAGTTAAGTAATATACAGAAACAGGATTCTGAATTATTCTTAGATGGATCCTTCTCCTTAATCATTTTGTAAAACAAAGTTTATCTACATATTCCTTTTGTCTGATTGAACAGTGTAATGATGAAATGCCTGGAAAAACAAGCCGACCTCTGGTGTTTCAGGTCATTTTGTAGACTGTGTTTTATATTTCTGAATATTTTATCTTGGTTGTCTGTTGTCTGTTGATGATGTGTTAAATTTTTCCTACTACATTAGGTGAATGATACTTGTTTGTTTTCATTCAAGTTTCTTTTGTTGGATGTGAGTGTTTAATGCCTTTCATTTCCTTATACTACCTTTTTTACAGCAATACCTTTTGATATTTCTTTTGATATTTATGGTATCTGGTTTTGACATCTGCATTGTCTCTGCCATCAAATGATTCATCAAATAGGATG